CTTTATTGTATCCGCGTCCGTTGGATGCGTTTCGGGAGAGCGCCAGAGCCCGAGGAGGATGATTTGCGTTTCTTTTCCTGGGGCGGATGCTACGTAAAAATTTCGTTGATGACGATGGAAATTGGAGAGAATTGCGCGGAATGGGCATTAATATTAATAACGACCTCCGCCGCGTGGATCGATACATATATACGTGTGTGTCTGTGCATAGGATTATGCAAAGGAAAAAAATCGCATATGCACGACGAACGTCGAATAGTTACGAGCCGGTTGTAAGCGCTGGGGGACGTTGACCTCGCCGATTCGCCCGACTGTGTTTTCGACGACTTGAGCTTCCACGTCGATACATGGATGAAATAATTTCACCCCCGAATCAATAGTCGGATTTATTGTGAGCATTCCAGGTAGAAACGCAGAGTCAGGCTAATATTATGAATTATATATTTAAGAATTTTATCAAGTACAGTCTTAAGACTGTACTACTGTAGTCTTTAAAATATATTTAAATCTTAAGGTCTTAAAATAAGAGCGGACTATATAGCCAATATTCATAGTGGATTCTTATTTTAAGACCATTTAAGACCGTCTAAAGTAATATCTAAAGATGCTAATGCGATTTGTGGTTGATTTATGACATCTTAAGACTGTATCATAAGACGGTCTTAAATGTAAGAATCGACTATGAATATCGGCCATAATAATATACCATAAGATGTCATCATGACTTCATTTGTCATTTATATAAGTGATAAATAAGGTCATAATAATGTCCTTATGTTATAAATTATGACTTCTGTTCCGTAAAAATTCTGTTACTCCGATTTGAATATCTTTCAACGGTCGTTCGATGTTACCGTATTTATTCGTTCGAATCCGTTTTCCCTCCCATTTATCTTTGTGAGTCGTGAACGTCGTGGTTTGATGAGCGATCATCGCTTGCCCGAGTGTCCCAGAACAAACAAAAACAAGCATATTGAACATTTGTTGACATTTTAACTCATGCTTTGTAAAAATAAAGACAGATTGTTCTTGATCGCATTCCTCTTATGAAATGTCCTCTCCCATGAACAGTCTCGTGCTCTCGTATCTTCTTTATGAGAAAAATAAGAGATAACGCACTGTAAAAGTATAAACCGTCTATAGAGGTATAAACAAAAAACAAATCTATAAAGTCTGAGTGTTCATAATATCATTTATCTAACAGTAAGCTAAAAGTCTAATCGACACAAGTGAGCACCCAAACAGTTATGGCGTCTGATCTGGCAAACCAACGATCAAAACAGAAATCCAGAAACGAGGAAAAAAGTTAATAAAAGGACAAGATTCCTTTCATACAGTGAGGAATTTATGTATAACGTATTTTGTTTAACATAAAGCTGCAAGCATGATGATTCTGGTCGCACGTGTCTTCTACACCTTCATTTGTTAACCTTTGATACTGCTTTATTCTTTCGAACGCAACGTGTACAGCGCGTCTGTTTTCCTTTCGCAGGAAATGCAAAAAGAAGCACGGAAAACGCACGTCTGAAGTGCAAATGGATCGCACATTATCGATCTGGCGCTCCTCGACGTGACGTAAAGACGAACGAAGGAACGAGCCTGTAATTAAAAATAGGTTTCGTTCCTTTCAAGGTTAGTTGGCGTTCTTCGTTTTGCCAGTGTTATACCTTTCAAACAATATGAGCGGATCGATCGCGATGCGAATCTCGCTATGGATTAAGCATGGCAGTTATGCATGCACAGTATGCTCCATTCAGGCTGCTTTCCTTTTAGGAAACACAGTCAACACAATTATCATTCTATCTTTGTCATTCATTGAATGTCAAATAGGATAAAATTATGTTTGTGTCGAGTGTGTCCTCTAAAAGGAAAGCAGCCTAAGGTCCGTTTCCACCAACGCAGATCAACTTTAATCTCGGTTCAACTTAATCTTTGTCTTTTTCTAGTTCTAAAGATTAGAAAAAGACGAAGAGTAAGTTGAACCGAGATTAAAATTAATCTATATTGGTAGAAATGGGCATAAGTAACTCTGAGGAAATATCCCTAAAAGGGAATTTCTAAGGACGATTTTGACAACAATCTTACATTTAAAATTATTTTAAGTGCAATCTCGAGTTTAATGCTGCATTTAGCAGAAAAAGTAGTATTGCAACTGTTGTAAAATTCTTTAATTTAATTGGTCTTGCTCTTAGTTCCTCACTAGATCTAAATGTATAAATGTATAAACCAATCATATTCAAGAATTATACAACATGTTGCAAAGCTGCTTTTTCTGCTGTACGCAACTATTGATAATTTTATTGGTTAAATGAAATTGTAAAAAATTTTATAGGACAATTAAAATTTAATTAGTTGATTCTTATATTTGAGATAATTTTAAGTCTTATTTTATAGTCTTATTAAAATGCCATAAACCAATCAGAGTAATATTAACATCTTAAGTCTTGTGTTCACGATACTAGAAATTGGTCCGAGATCGGATGAAGAAAGAATTAACTAATCGCATTGGTCATATGACCAAATTGTTCAAATGTGATTTGTTAATTCTTTCTCTCTGTCCAAAACCTCGATTTCTAGGATTGTGAATGCAAGGCTTCAAGACATTGTTTAGGATAGACTTGAAATAAGAACAGACTTATAAATACTGGTCTATAAATACCAGCCTAAGATTCCATTCAGCCAATGAAATAACCGTACAATGTTTTGAGATAGTTTCAAGTTCAGTTATAAATAGTCTTATTAAGATCATTCAAGTTAATGAAATGATATAAAGCCCCAGCCACAATGCGAAGGAATAGCGATAGCAATAGAAATAACACGATTTCAATCTATCAGAAATCAGATACACTGGAATATATAGTTTCTGATAGGTTGAAATCGTGTTATTTCTATTGCTATCTATTCTATTGCTGGGGCTTTACATTAATAATATCGCTTCTAAAATCAAATATATTATTTAAGACTATTTAAAACATAATATAGTATATACATATTTACATTTAATACTGTCATTAACATAAATTTACATTGGGTGCTTTCCAGCAAGGGACACAGTCAGACACAGTGTAACACAGTGAATCATACGTCCTTGTTGTTTGCTTACGTTAAACAAGGATGAAACGATTCACTGTGTTACACTGTGTTTGATTGTGTCCTTGCTGGAAAGCACCCATTATCTTCGACAACATAAACATACGACGGGGAGCACAGACTCTTGCATAACGCATAACACATAATGCATAAGAAAATTAATCAATCAAAGTCCTTTATTTCCTTCTTTTCCATGAAATAAAGGACTCTGATTGGTTGATTTTCTTATGCCTCATGTTTTATGCGTTATGCAAGTCTGTGCTACCCGCTTAAGTTATAAAAATACGTTATATGTAACAAATAATATTCTTTGATTTAATGAAAGAGAGAGAGAGAGAGAGAGAGAGAGAGGGGCCCAATGCACAATAGAGAAAAAAATATTAGGAAAAAAAATAGGAATAAATATTAAGATTTCAACCTACCAGAAACCGCATATTCCGAGAGAGAGAAAGAGAAAATAATTTCTTATAACGTAATTGACAATGTAACACGTAAAGGCCGCTACACAGACTTTTGCGTAATGTATAACAGCCCTTCTATAATAAGCCGCAAGTCAGAACATCAGAAGTCT